TATTTTTTTGACAGAGAGAGACAGCAAGAGAGGGAACACAAGCATGGGAAGTGGGAGAGGGAGAAGCAGGCTTCCCACAGAGCAGGAAGCCTGATGCGGGCAGGGCTCGATCCCAGGAGCCTGGGATCACTACCTGAGCCAAAGGCAGGTGCTTAACGACTGAGCCACCCAGGTGCCCCTATGTATTATGTATTTTTCAAAAATAGAACTACTCACAAGTCTATCAAGTTTCATCCATTGCTAATGTCAACAACACATGTTTTATGTGGACTTTCATATATAAAGTTTAAGAGTAATATGAATTGCTTAATATTGCAAAATATTCCTCAGCTGCCATGGACCACTGTTAAAAATATCAACCTAATTTTTAAGTAGAAACACAACCTGGAATACAAAGAGAAACAAGAAAATGGATGGTTAGCACTACTGGAAAGTGATTAATTCATTAAGCAGGAATTTACTGCATTTATGTTAATTAATTTGTCCTTTCACCTAAGAACTTCTGCCACTTTGACTCCTCACTACATACCAAAGCAGTGTCCATAACCAGCATCAAAGCCCATAACTTTCATGACATTTGTTTCAAGGGCATCAGGGCAAGTGATGAAGAGAAGTGTATCTGGGGGCCTGACAGGTGTTAGTCACTAGAGAAAATGTTTGGATTACAAATTGCTCTACCAGTGCTGAGTGCTGGATCCCAAATGACACTTACTTTTTTAAAGTTTGTGATATCTGGGTCCTCTACATACAAGATCCAGGAGAGAGAATCCTCTCGCTCAGGTCTTAAGAGAATACTGTAAGCTTCAGGGAGTAAACAGGTCATCTAGGATCTACTGAAATCAAAGGAAAAATCAATTACTTCAACTTCTCATAAGGAGAGAGCAGTTAACAGAGAGTCCTTGAAAGAGGTAAAGATAGCTGCAGCAGGGTGAGGAAAAAAAAGGAACCCTTTCTTTACCAAACTTCTGTTATAATATTTGTAACACAGATGACTGGGACTCTGAGTTTAGATTCTGCTCCTTTTATTTTTCAAGATACTCCTCAATCTTGAGTTCCCTTCCCCTAAGCTGGTGAAAGTATGGGGTCAGAGAATCACCTACTATATTAATTAATGCTTATCAAGGTATAAAGACAATAAAACATGTTTTATAACTAAAAATAAAGTATATAATATAACAAGAATGCAAATATCAAGGCTGCAGGGCTCTAGAGAGATGGGAGAAATCAGAGGCTTAGTTCTTTCTTTGGATACTTCTATCAACTTTAATGCCTGCTGTCCAAGGCTATTAGTCTATAAACTAGCTTCTGCAGTTAAAACAATGAATTTTAACTGAGGCAAACAAAACTCTAATGCTCACTAAATTTTCATCACCAGTAAGGACAGGTTTATACCAAATATCCCCTTAAAAATTAAAAAATAAATAAATAACAACAACTCTGGTTTCACCATTTCTCAATCTCTAACACTCATTCTACTCTTTCTTTGGAAAGGGGTGTGGGAATAAAAAAACAATTAACTCTGCTCTTAACCTGGATCATATACTTGTACTAAGAAATACTATAGAAAACAATAATATAAACTACCACTTACTGAATATCTACTATGTGACAAAATAATCCTGCCAGATAGACGGTAATGTTCACCTTATAGAAAAGGACTCAAAAGCTTAGAGAGAAGCTCAAGGTGACTCAGCTAGGGAATACAGGAGAATCCAGGTTCAGAGACAGGTCTGTCCAACTCAAACTGCTTTATCTTCACCAATATCACAAATAACTGTGAATTAAGATGACCTCTTAGTATCTACCAACTGTGTGGACATTGTTAGTTTTTGCCAGTATTCTATGCATGGAAAAGATATTTGTTTCTGAATAAGCCTTACACTCTTCCAAAGTTTGCTACTCTCTCAACTTCAAGTATAAACAGGTAAGTAAGTACCAGAATACCACTAAAAAGTGACTGGGAAAATAAGAGGGATGCGACTTGAACCACTGTGACCACATCTGCTTTTCAAATTCCTACAGAGGAGGAGACTGGCTTCCACTTCTGTCGTGGACATCCCACTCCCTGCCACCTACTCCAACCATCCAGTGACCTGGCGGGGTTCTATAAAAAACAGATACACAATATCAAGGCTGTTAACCACTTGGGAATTTTGAGTTTCATGAATTCGGTGAGGAAACAGAATTGATTTGCATAGCTTGGTTTTAAAATTTGGGGCTCCACTGGGAGAAGATATTTGCTAATGACATATCTGATAAAGGGTTAGTATCCAAAATATATAAAGAACTTATAAAACTCAACACCCAAGAAACAACCCAATTTAAAAATGGGCAGAAGGAAAAAAAAAATGGGCAGAAGATGTGAACAGACATCCCTCCAAAGAAGACATCCAGATGACCAACAGACACATGAAAAGATGCGCATCATCACTCACCATCAGGGAAATGCAAATCAAAACTACAATGAGCTACCACCTCCACCTGTCAGAATGGCTAAACTCAACAACACAAGAAACAACAGGTGTTGGTGAGGATGTGGAGAAAAAGGATCACTCATGCTATTGATCACTCATCAACTCACTGTTGGTAGGAATGCAAACTGGTACAGTCACTGTGGAAAACAGTATGGAGATGCCTTAAAAAGTTAAAAACAGGGCAACCCTTTCGGGTCCCCTTCCTCTTCGGGAGCTTTGTACTATCACTTTACTATCGCTCAATAAACCTTGCTTTGCTGCCCAGCACTCTGTCTGGTCTACCTCTTCATTCTTCTAAGTGGCGTGACCAAGAACCACGGGCACTGAAGGAGAGGAAATCCTGTAACATTGCCAGTCTCCGTAACTGCAGGAGCTAATCCTTTATATTACATCTCTTTATATATATGTATATGATATGTTTATTAAATATGTACTATATATATATAGTATATCCATTATATATATATTATATATAATATCCAAATGGCTCTGTTTCTGTGGAGAACTCTGACTCATACACTGTCCTTTACCTATGAGAAATATATATTGCTGTTGTTTCTGAGATTTGTAGAAACAGATACCTTCTTTCTTTTTGCCTTTGTCTTCTCTGGTTTTGGCGTTTCAACTATATCGTGGTCTGGGAAAAAAAAAAAGTTAAAAACAGAACTACCCTTTGATCCAGCAATCACACTACTATGTATTTACCCAAAGAATACAAAAAAACATGAATTCAAAGGGATACATGTACCCCTATGTTTATTGCAGCATTATTTACAATAGCCAAATTACAGAAGAAGCCCAAGTGTCCATCAGTTGATGAATGGATGAAGAGGGTGTAGTGTACATATATACGATAGAATGTTACTCAGTCCTACAAAAGAATGAAATCTTGCCATTTGCAGTGACATGGATGGAGCTAGAGAGCATGATGCTAAGTGAAATAAGTTCATCAGAGAAAGACAAATACCGTATGATTTCAGTCATATGTGAATTTAAGAAACAAATAAGCCAAGAAGGGAGAGGGGGTGTTTGGCTTGGAGAGGCGGCTCACCAGGCATCTTGTGACAGAGAAACAAACATAGAAAAATAATCATGGAAATGAAGAAGGAAAACCTGTACAAGATGAAAAGAACAGCAACAGCACTAGAAATTTCCAACAGGTAAGAAACTGGGAAACAAACCTCTAAAGTGCCAAAGAAAAATCTTGCAAATGTGTTTTTCAAATGTTCATTTCGTGTTAAAATAATCCAGTTTTAAAATGTGAAGATCATTAAAAATTAGAACTGTCATGCTTTCAGGCCTAATTATACCAGATGTCTTCTTGCTTATGTGATCTTAAAAACAACCCCACAGCTTTAGAATGCACCACTGTAAGAAAATTATCAAAGGAAATCACCAAGCGGTAGTACTGGCACAATGCAGTTTCAATTACTTTCTGTTTATCTGTTTGTATTAAAAACCTGGTATACATACCTTTATTGGCAGAGTGTAGCTCTCCTTTCTTGATACATTTAATATACTGTTATTTTAAAAAATTAAAAACCTCAACATCCCTATAATGACAACCCAGTCATTAACCTTCACAGAAAATTAAAGCCAATTCAGACAATCTGTGTTGGCTTGACTTTAAAAGTAACTGTTAGGCTTTGGGAAATGAAATGTGTATATTTTCCAATTACACTTTATATGGACTCAGGCAATTGTCAAGTTTCAGGAAAAACAGATAAACCATTTCCAGCAGAGAAAATCAGAATACATGTAATAAAAGAATGGACGAGTCAAATGTTATCCCCAAATCTTAAAACACAGCACACATTTCTGCAATAGACAGATGTGAAATTTTATTTTTTGGAATGGGTGAATAGGCGAAGAGGAGTTTGCATGGTCTAGAATAAGCAGGCCAATTATACTTTTTTTTTTTTTAAGATTTTATTTATTCATTTGAGAGAGAGCGCGCGCATGCAAGAGAACACAAGCAGGGGAAGCAGCAGAGGGAGAGGGTGAAGCAGGCTCCCCACTGAGCAGGAAGCCTGACAACAGGGCTCCATCCCAGTATTCCAGGGACCATGACGCAAGCTGAAGGCCAATACTTAACCAACTGAGCCATCCAGGCACCCCCCAATTATACTTTTTAATAAGGCTGTGAAAGAGTAGGCATTTGTTTCTTGATGCTTCTTGTGGTTGGTTAATACGGTACTTTGTTCTTAGGGAGAGCTCTAAGATGTGTCTTTACAGAGCTTCTAGTTCTATTTGTTTTCATGGAATGCAAATGATTAATTTGATTGATTTTCTTTAAAATGAAATGACCAGTAAACTAGAAATATTGCTTTGGGTATGGTTTAGAAAGTAGAAGTCTTCCTCCTGACTCTGCCACTAACTATGCGCAAGTCTGGGTCTTGGTTGCCATGTTTTTAAATCAGAATTAAAGTATCATTCATATCTAGAGTACATGACTGCAACAGAGCTCAAATAAGACACCCCACTTTGTCAACACTTAAATTCTTGAATAAATTAATGAGTGTGGTAGTACTTTAAAATCGTCAAGCCCTAAACAAATGCAAGATGTTATCTGCATCAACACAGCAGCACAATCTGTATTCCTAAAGGTTTAAGGAAAAAGAGAAAGCGTTCTATGGGGGAGATGCTTGCAGTGTGGCCCTGACCTATTCTGGGACCCCCACATAAACACTTGGGGTATGCAGGTGTGTGCAAAACTTCACTTTGCCCAAGGCCACACACTCCCTGAAGTTACATTAAGGAAACTGTTTGAATATAAAAGAATTAGAAAATGTTCTACTCATTTACTTTTAAAATTAAAAATAAGAAAAACAGAAATTTATTCAAGAAATATGAAACAGGGGCACCTGGGTGGCTCAGTCGGTTAAGCGTCCAACTGTTGATCTCAGCTCAGGTCCTGATCTCAGGGTTGTGAGTTCAAGCCCCACGGTGAGCTCCCCACGGTGAGCGGGGAACCTACTTAAATAAATAAATATAAAACAGGAGGCAGCAGAAAATAGTGGAAAGAGCATGGAAATCTGAGAGCCAGAAGATGTGGGCTCTGGTCCCTGTTCTCCCGGTAATTAATTGCAAAACTGCAACCAACAAGTGTCAAATGAGAGGGGTCTATTAGAATACCTGTAGTGTCTTCTCCAGGTCAAGACACCATAGCACCAAATGAAATATAACACATAGTCTAAAATACGCTTCAATTTTTCTGTGTTATGGACAATTAAGGGAAAGAGGGAAACAGAGGAGACAATGCGACAGGTATCACAAGAGGAAGACAATGAAAGGTAAGGAAAAAGCACGGAGACCAAGGGGCAGTCACACACGAATTCTGCTCCCAAACCCCCACCAAA